AAGAAAGAAAGAAAGAAAGAAAGAAAGAAACAAAGAAAGAAACAAAGAAAGAAAGAAAGAAAGAAAGAAAGAAGAAAAAAAAGAAAGAAGAAGAAAAAAAAGAAAAAGAAAAAAAAAAGAAAAAATATGGAAAAATAGAAAAAGAAAAAAGAAGAAAACAAAAGAAGGAGAAAAAACAAGAGAAGGAAAGAAGAAAAAAGAAAAACAAAAGAGACAGAAAGAGGAAGAGAGAAAAACAACAAAGAAGCAATCAAAGAGAAAGAGGACTATAACTCTTATACTGTTGAAACGTCCGCCCACCGGCTTCGCCGGCTCTACTGGGAAGATACGAAATGAAAGGACATGAAGTGTGAAACCACCAACCTGCCAAACAACATCTACATCATGCAGCATGGGCTGGGTGCACGTGGCAAGCTTAAATTGGGCATTTGCGTGTTTGACCAAATTTTGCTTCTCGGACGTAGACAAATGTCTTGCTTCAAGGCAGTAAAAGACCATGACTGAGGTTCTTGCGTTGTGGGCCGTCTTGCAAACCACCTTTGTTTGTTCAATTTGGCAGCTTGATGTTTGCAACACAAAGGATTGCACGAAATATGTCTTTGGAATCGTGGCCCTTCCCCTGCATCATTTGCAATTTGCTGTAGTCTGAACAATTGCGACTTTGAAGGTGTCGTTCTGGCTTGCACCATGCGATCTGTGTCCTTGCATTTGCACCGGCATAAATACATGTATCTCCAACTCGAAACATCAATAAACTGGACCGACCGGACAAAGAAATATCACCGTTCCCAGCCTCAAAGTCCAAGAGCCCTCAGCCCCCGACACTTTCCGAATCTCCAACTTCAAGGAAACTCACTTCAGATTGGCCCAACGTGATCTTTTAAAACTGGCCAACGGGGGAAATACACGGGGAGCCCTGGCGTGGGCAAGTGTCGCACATGTGTGGAACTCCACTGCCCGCCTCGTGGTCTCTTGCGCATGGCGAGCTCCTTGCTGTTCACGGCGCAAGTTGGAGAACAAATTGGAAACCCTCTGGATGACCGCAAATTACCCGGAGCTCAAAGTATCCGCTTCTCAAGCGAATTTGTTAAAAAAAAAAAGGCAGAACCTTGCCCGATGGTTTAGGCAACCAACACCCGAATCGTTTCCCCGAGGTATGATACCGTCGCGGGTCGCTCCAAAGTACTCGGGCGGCTCTCGCTTGGAACCTTCTGAGCTCCCCACCACCATGGAGTGTTGCAGCAGCCGCTTCCTCAGTTCACCAGTTGCAAGGGCAACACGTCCAGTCCACTGCTTGAGGCCCTTGACGTACAGAATCACATTGCTCAGCTGGCAGGTGTTTATGTCTCTGACTTGAGGTGTGCAGTCAACAGAGTTTTCACCTGAACACAATGAAACCTGGACAGCTACAGGGCCTTGCACCTCGGCCAGACTTCAATGAAATTCAAGGACAAACATACCCTCAGAACAAGAATCGCATACGAGAAGAAAACCTATCAAGAACTAGAAGGGAAACATCCTTTTTGGGACAAGCTATTTGTTTCCTAAACTAAGACTCAGCCCGCTGCCGCTTCGCGACCAGCTCTGCCACCAGCACGGCCTTCGAATCTGGGCGGTGCCTGAGCACCTTGGCACCAGCCGACCCACTCCCGAAACTCGGAGCAAGCCTCTGGACCCCTGCCAGGCGTATGTTAGTTGGGTGGCAATCCGGATTCCTACGACAACGCCATTGCGATTCGCGATTTGCGATTCGCGCTTTTCTGGCTCCTCTTTCACACCTTGAGTGACCAACCATGAACTTGATTTCTGTCCCACATGGGTGTCGCTCAAAAAAGTCAACAGCGGGGGCAAACCGCAGGTTGTGGTCCATGTTCCCACTTACCAGGGCAACCCATTTTGGAATTCCGGTTTTTTGAGCCACAGCCATTCACCAAGGCTCCAAAAAGGGAGCCCCCGGCAATCCAGACGCCAGGGCCGGCGCCGGCTGGGCTCGCAAAGCAACTCGCCTGGGTAAGTGGTTTTTGGGGGGAGACTTGTCAAAGGGAATCGTTTCAAAGCCACTCACTTCCTTTTCAGCCCAACCAAGCCAAGACGAGACTCACATCCTTCTCCCGACTTAAAATGACTGCGTGCCTCACCGCCACCTCAATCTTGTCGTGGTCGGTTCGAAAGGCGACGGCCTTTGCCTGCTGAAACGCACGGGATGGACGTGTCTCCCATAGTGCGCTGAAATCATCCGGGCTCGACGGTACCCAAACCTCATGGCTTCCCTAAGGGCATCCGAAATTGGTGGGTGCGCATTTCGCCCAAACCCCTTCACACTACTCTTGTTTTTCTCAAAGTCACCCCCCTTGGCAAAGGCTTTAAACAAGCGTCAGCCCGCAGGTAGCAAGGGAAACCCACCAACCAGCTGACTTCATCCCAACTCAAAGTACTGACCGCGCAGCCCTCGCGCCTCGGCAGAGTCCTCCTCGGGCGAGGCCAAGGGCACCGCGAAGTTCGGCTTGGGCAGCCGCTCCTCCTGAGGCCGCACGACTTTGGGTATGGGTCAAAATGAAAAACCACCAGGATATGGACCACCGAGACCTCGGCTGGGTGAGAGAGCCACCCAGACCTCGCTGAGGAATCCGAGATCCGTGCAAACCAAATGAAACGGCCAAAGGGCTGAACCCACAACTCGTGGGTGGGAAACAGCGGGAACATCCATGGGTCCGATCTGAAGCTCGCGAAACCAATTGGAACTCTGCAAAGTGCTGCTGTCAAGCACACAGCTCAGTTGGCATTCAGGAATAGTCTCTGGTTGTTATGAATGCCTTCAAGCAGCGAGTTCTTTAGTCAAACATCAGATTGACCATCGGAGTCGGTACATGGCACAATGAAAGTGTGAATGAGCTGCTGCAATCAGCCATGTGGCTGGTCCGGACGTGCTTGGCCGGCTGTGCTTTTCATGTTTGACTCGGTGAGAACGGCCTCGCAGCCTGACTGTCCGAAGGCCACCTCTCTTTGACCAAAATCGTTCACGCGGAGCCGGTCGTCTCATGCGACTCGACCAGGTCACTTCGCAAAATCCACTCCAAGGGGCTCCCTTTGATTTGCAACGAGCCTCGGCCGCACCTCACCTTAATCTTATCCGCGTTTCTATTGTGGCTCAAATTATCTTATCTTCCATAGATACGGTGGCCTTGAGTGTCGGACCAACTGCCAGCACAGCACTGGTGCACATCATGAACCGCCTTCTAAATGATGTCCGCCAAAGTCTCTCTTCTTCAAATCCCAGCCTATTTATTTGCATTCAAAACTGGGCTGCCCTCAGATCACCTGCTAAAAGTTTAACTTTTAGTGGGTCAAACGGACACCAAACAAAACACCAAAAGTCTAAAGAGTTCAGGAACCGGCTGGCTGGGAGCCACCAAGAAAACAAAGCCACCAACGGGGTTCCGGAAACCCGCCCCCAGATCTCAGAGCCACAGCTGACAAGTGTTGAGCTCAGGGGCAATCGGCAAAGGCACCGGCCCACCAGCCCGGCTCCGCCAGGTAGTTCGCAGATCCTGGCGGATCTGGGCAGGTTCGCCCCGTTCCGGCGAAAGGGGCAACCGTTCCCACAAACGAGATATGGCCGTGGGTCGAACGCAAGTAGGTGGCAAATGGATGTTCATCTACCCCAAAATGGAGCTGGGTCAAAAATAGGGTAACCCCAAAATGGAACTGGGAAAATGGAAACATGGACTATCTGCGGTCCGATTGGTGTGATATTGACCCACACCCATATGGGGGGCCACAAACAAAATGCCCCCCGGAAAGTAAGGCACTTGATTTCATTGGCCCGTGATGTCAGTCCCGCGCACAAGAAACCGCCGCCCAAAAGGCTTTTTTCGATCCCGACCGCGTCCCCAGGATTTTCCAACTCAGGTCAGGCCTTCACCGTACCTCTTCCGCAAGGCCATGCCCCAAGCGTGGAGGAAACCAGATGCCTCGGAATGAGGGGAAAAGGGCCAGAACTGCGCCCAATCAGCTTCCGCCCCCAGAACGGGTCACCATCTTGTCAACCTCCCAAATCAGAGACTAGCTGTTCATCTCAGATTTTAGTTCATGGTTCCATTTACCAAGGTTCCATTTTGACCTACCCTATTTTTGACCCACAGCCATACCTTAAGCTGCTGGCCACGGCCCCCATAGGTGCAAAAAGCCGCAAGAGGTCGTGGCCTTCCTGAGCGCGAATCGAGAGCCAACGGCTCAAACCAAAAACGGAACTCCAAGAATGCGTTGCCCTGGGTGGAAACATGGACCAAGACCTGCGGTTTGCGCAACTGCTGTTTTTAATTTTGAGCCACAAGTGTGGACAAGCAAAGGATATACGGCGAACGTTGAATGCGCGTTGAGTGGCCAGTGTGCTCGAGCTTGACATCACAGTACTTCCCAACGCATGCCGGAGGATCGTAGCATGCTCCTCACGCAAAAAACTGTCTCAGCTGCTACAAGCACACAGTGGGAAGCCGTGGCTTGGTTGGTAAAGAAAAGGCTTGGAGATGTAGCATGCCCTTGCTCCACATGCACTCTCCTCGCTGAAGACTGCATGAGCCTCTTCCCTCATCACATGATCAGTAGCGTGGTTGCGCTGCCCACATAGTCTTCACATCAGGCGCCTCGCAAGCACACAGAGAAGAAGCCTGATCGCCACGCTGCTGCTGCCCTCGATGAGTTTAGAGTTTAAAGCCTCACACAAC